CTAAAATGAATACTTAGATTAGAATTAAGAGAACTTAACAACTTTGAAAAACAAAATAGCTTCTTCTTACAACTGCTGTGAGATTAATACATTTATAACTGTTCCCACCTACAGCCCAAGTATCAGCCCATGTGGTCCCCATGTAGCACTCACATAGAATTCAAAGCTAGAAGCAAGATGGGTCTTGAGTATGTTGCCTAGTTGGGGCCCACCTAATAAGCAATGTAACCCGGCATGAAACCTATGTAGGCTAGTGGCATGGTCCCCATGACGTCCTGACATAGAATTTGAAGCTGGGACCGTGATGGATATTGCATATTTTGCTTGGTTGGGACATACCTAACACCCAGAGTAATCCTGTATCAAACCCATGTGGGTAATCAGCATGGAGCCCATGAACAATCCCATATAGGGCCCGTTTTTCAGCCCATTTTCTACCTACTATGGCCCCAAATACAAATGTTGACTGGGTTGTCAACTCCATAAGACGTCAACTCCATCAAATCTTACCTTATTGATCATGTATGTTAGGTAATATTTAAATCAGTGGGAGGTTAGCCCATTACAAGGTTTAATTGTCAAGAGTTTGATCTTGTTAACTATATTTTTCCAGCCTAATTGAAGAGTAAAAATGCCCAAAACAAATCCCTGTGCTAAAAGCTCTAAAGCCTGTTGTTGTAGCTGTATTGCATGAACGTGATGCAGAAGGAGTTGCTTTTCTAAAATGAAGCTGAGAGTTAAATTCAGAGGCATCAATGGAACATTTAAAATCTTTGGAATGGCTCTTAAATATTTTATTCCACCCCTGGCGGCGACTCTGCCCTCGTCTGCTCTATAGAACTGGGACCATTAAAATGTACAGGATTTTCTCCACCAACTTAATGAGAAGATAAGCAGTTAATGTGAAATCCTCTGGGCTCTTTTTTTTTCTTTTTTTGTGTAAGTAAAGCACTAAGTGCCTATCGCCTAATTAAGGCATCAACTCGGCTCCAGCTCCTGATTTGCCATCCCACTCTGTCACACCTCGGCGGCTGCGAGACGGAGGAACAGCTCATGAATTAGAGGTTATACTGAAGTTATGACAAGAGCATTGTTTGAGCACTTCACGCTTTAGAAGTTCTCCCTTTCCAAGCGAAAGCAATGCATCAACCCATCTTTTGCTGATGACAAGGTCAAGTGACTGGGAGAAATACCACTGAAGTACTCAGACAAAATGGCAAGAAGAAAGAAATGAAGAAATGGCGAGTGCCAGAACACCATATTGATTCTTAAGGTTATAAAGAGAAAGTGCTGATTGCAGGAAATCACTGCCAAAAGTCAATAACTTTTATTGAGAAGAGATGGAAGTTGAATCCAAGAAACTTTTGTTTTTGATTTGTCTGCTCCACCTTTTAATATTGTTTATTAGATCTGTTTTCAGCCATTTAAGGCATTTTTATTCCTTTATTGGTTAGCTGAAAGTAGAAAGATAACAATGAATGTGAGGAGAGAGCAATGGGGAATAATTAAACGTAGCTTTTATCTACTTCTAGCTTGGAATGTCCATTTTTATGACTCATACCATGGCCCAAAGTGAGTGTGAGTGATTCTTATTTTCTGGAAAATTCTTTTAAAGGTTCTGCATGTAACTTTCAGAAAATTCTTGTTTTTGTAACGCCTCTCTCGGAGGTCGTAAACTGCAGTTAGCATCCTCTTGCTTGCGCTTGCACTTCTTAGGTGCCCACTCCTTTGGTGCAAGCAAGCACATGGGCTTTGGCAGAAACAGTTTGCATGCTGCCTAGCTTTACAATAGCTGGCTAACCGTAGCTAAGGTTACAGTTAGGCCCCGATCACAGGAAGTGTTTTAGCAGCTGGAGGCAGATTGTGAGAATGAGAATTAAGCTTTTTGCTCGCTGTTTTTGTGTTGCTATGTGCCTTGCGTTTCTGTGCTCTAGGTGCCTGGCATTTTTGCCGGAGCTCTCTGAACTCCTCTAGTTGAAAAACACTCCACGCACCCCACGTCATTTCAGCTTTTTGCCCATTGTCCAATTGGATGATTTGAGAGGCGGGCCTTCTGTGGTGGTCACGACAACAAGTTTACTGGTGGTAAACAACATTTTTATTATGCTAGGCCTTATAATTGACAGCAGGTTGTCAAACTGCCCCTGAGTCATCCTAAAACGTGCCTGGAAAGGGACATCATCGAGGCAAAGCTCCTGGACCAACTGGTGGTAGTCCCCATAATCCACCCTCTGTTTTAATGGTCTCATGTCCCTGTGCCCACCAGACTATTTGCAAGTACCCTCTTCCTGTTCATACCTAGCCACTAATTACTGTGAAATTTAAAAAAAAAAAAAGTAGATTGATTAGGTTAAAATGAGGAGAAGGGGGTGGTTTCCTGGCAACAATTAAAAGGTGCAGCAAACGTTTTTTAACTTATGGCATTCGGTTAAAAAAAAAAAAAAGGGCAGTGCGGTGCACCTCACGTTTTTTGTGTGATTGGGGCCTTAGCATGTTAGCCAGCCAGCTAGCTGTAACTTTGTTACACTGCATTGATCTGGTATTGGTTGCTTTATAACAATTACTGATAAAGTAATTTGCAAACCAACCCTGAGAGTCTAGATAAATTAGTGGATTTTCAGTCAGCGTCAGCCTGATTTCTGCCAGCTCAAACCCCAGCACTAAGGTGTCCGGTCTTTTGTTCATGTTAGCTAGTGCTGCACAGTGTTAGTACTGTAGCTTCGCTAAAGAGCGACAAGGTATTCAGGAGCAAGCATAATGCCACATCTTTTGGATTTTCATGAAAATAAAAAAAATAAAAAATAAAATATGTA